CACCCACTGCCCCGTCCTCTACGCCTGGAAGGACCTGGGGGTGCGCTTCTGGCCGCGCTACATCAAGGAGGGCAACTGCCTGGCCGAGAAGTCCTGCTCGCTGCCCGAGGGCATGTTCTGCAAGCCCGTCAAGTCGGTCACCAAGACCTTCCTGCGCTGGCACTGCCAGGGCTGGTCCAGTCAGAAGTACTGCACTTGGATCCCCGTGCAGTACCCGCTCATCTCCGAGTGCAAGTGCTCCTGCTAAGCCTCCCCGGCCCCTTGCACTGCCGCCCTCCTCCTCCGGATCACTTTAGGGGGGGAAGGTTTTTCGGGTGGGTTTTTGTTTTTTTTTCCCCACCCCCCAGAGCGAAGTGGGAGAAGATGAACCGCTTTGGGGTTTTGGTTTGTTTTCTTCTTGTTTTTTGGTTTTGTTTTGGTTTATTTTCTTGGTTAATTTTTTGGGGTTTTTTGTGTTTGTTTTTTTTTTTTTTTTGTTCTTGTTTGATTTTTTTGTTGTTAATCTTTTTTTCCCTTGGACTTATTTTAATGTTATTTTATTCAAAAGGGGGAAAAGCAAACCCAGGAACTGCAGGGCAGGCCAAAGGCACAGTAAAGCACTACAATCAGATGTCTATTTTTATACGTATATAGCCTTCTAACAAAAGGAAAATTTAAAAAAAAACTGGAAAAAAAAAAAAAAAGGAAAAAAAACCTACCAGCCATGTAAATAGAGAGATTTTAAAGGAAATGGGGGAGAAATTGCAACTGGTTTTTTATTATTATTATAATTATTATTGTTATTATTATTATTTTAAAGACATAGGACCACATTTTAAACCCATCCCCACAGAACCCAAGCACTTCCCCGCCAAAGGGAAGGGCAGAAATTTCTTGTAAAGATGTTTTTATCAAAAGGAGAAAAGGGGCGGGGGTGTAAAAAAATGAAGATCAAGAACCACAGCATCCCTGAACGTTTGTTTCTCCGTGCTGTATTTTTTTTTGTCTTCTCCAGATCTTGTCACTGATGTTTGAACTAATTTGCCAAGCTCTCTAGGGTTTTTTTTTTAAAGTGTATAACAATTAATTGAGAAGGAAATTTTAAAGAAAAGTACAAATCTATGAAAGAGTGGAATTGTTTTGTTGTGTGGGAATACATATAGTCATGTAGAGATGTTAAAGGAAATTTTCTGTGTACAGTTTATTTATTTTTAACTTTTGTGTATAGGGAAAAAAAAAAGCTAGAGATTATGCCAGAAACTATTGGAAATGTTTACTTGAATATTCCTTTAAAAACATATCATTGTAAATATGAGCTATCACTGATCAAAACATTTTTAGCAATAAACTCTATCTTTGAAGAAAAAACCTCGTACTGCACTCCAGCTGCCGGGGAGACCAATGGAGACTCGGATTCTTGCTCAGAGCAGGTGATGAGTAAAGGGCTTTGCCTGGCCCATGCTGGTGTAAATCACGAGATGCCCCAAAAGTCGGGACAGCTCCACCGGTTTCTGTCTCTCCGGGATCCCGCTCTGGGATTTCTTTGCGTGTATAACCTGTTGGGTAGAGAGAAAAACAGCGACCGGAGAGAAATGTCTCGTAACGCATAAAAGAGCTGCGATGTCCCGGACTGGAGGTGTCATCTGAAGTCCTTGGGAGGTTCCATGCTCTGCAGCTCTTGGATTTGGCTCTCCTGCTGGCAGAGGAAGCGGTCGAGGTTACTGCCCCGGCCACCAAAGCACCTGACACAGCTTGGCAGCCCCACGTGTGTCAGAACAAATGCTTTTTCTCGGCTGCCGCTACTAGCGAAGGAGGGAAGGATGGAGATGAGCCCTGCACCCCGCCATGCTGCGCGACGGAGCCCTGGGTCCGGCATCCCTGCCCGCAGCGTCTCTGGGTGTGCGCGGGGGTCAGCAGCAGATGGTGTGGAGTGCCCACAGCTCCTGTGCTGGGGCCAGGCCGATCCCTGCACTCCAACCGGAGCTCATGGAGCAAGGGCAAGGCAGAAACAGGATGGCTCCACACGGGCAGGCTCCGACAGCCGGGCTGGGGAGGAGCCCAGCACCTGAGACCGAGGGCACTGGCAGTGCAAGCCCGCTACCGACGGAGATCTGTCGGTCTGTCGGTTGGTCAGAGGGCTTGGAGTGCGGCCCTGATGGGCTGCCAGGTCATTCCCCTGCCTGTTCTGCATGGGCTGCTGTGCTGGAGGGGAAGGTCTGGCCATTCCCACTGGTGTCTGAAATGTACCCGGCATCCCTGAGGAACAAACTGCTGCCAAAGGCCCTGGCCAGTGAGAAGTTCTCCCTCAAGGCAGCTGTGAAGCAGCAAGGAGACCCTGCCCCACTCCAGCTTGGCATGCAGCACAGGAGAGCAGCATGATACCAAGCCCATGGGAAGGCACCAGGACCCTCCAAGAGGTCTGGCTTGTATCCCTGCATCATTGTCTGAGGGGACTGAGGTCCAGCGAGTCCCATGAAGCAGGCCTGCAGAGCCTGGAGGTCACAGACTGAAATTAAAACAGGGAGAGAGTTGTTGAGATGGGCATGGTGGGGACGAGGCAGGAAAGACAGTGACATCCAATAGTCCACATCCCTGCAGAGCCCTGCAGCAATCCCCTCATCCATGCTTGAGGAGGCAGGCTGGCCTTTCCACACATTTGTCAGTGAGGGACTGGGGAAGGGGGGGATGCAGAGGGCAGGGTGAAAAGGAGACTTCGGCAAAGACAATGTGCAAAACATCAGGGGCATTTCAGAGAGAAAGGGGAAAGCTCATTTTGCAAGAGGAACAACATCTGTGGTGTGGGGGCTGAACATCTGTAGGAGGGAGCATGGGGGGAAGGCATTCTGGGAAAATATTTCTGACATAATCCCAACAGTATCTGGTGTGTTGGGATTTGGTTACAAATGGCCCTCTAACGTCTTTGTGCGTTTTGTTCTGCTGGTTCAGGGGCACACAGAGACCCCTGCTTTGTGCTAACCTGGGAAATAAACCATTCGCTGGGCTCAATGGCCGAGTTCAGTTGCGCGGGGAAGGGGGGTTGGGAAAGGGGAAGGCGAGATTTGTGTGAACTCAGCAAAAACCAACCTAAAAGCCTCCATGCCATGTGCTGGAGGGAGGAGGGGGGCTGCTTCCGTCTCTGGGGAGAACTCAGTGGTCCCGCTCGAGATGATGGCTTGTCTGGAGGTGAAAGCACGAGAGCTTACAGCCAAGGTGCTTGGCGAGGGCCGGGGCTGGGGAGTGGAGCGCAGCCCCGTGGGGTGTGTGCCTGCCCACCTGGCCCTGCCTTGCCAATGTGCCACAGCGCTGGACCACGCTCACCTGGTGCTTATGTGCGGTGCCCTCACGCCGAGGAGCTTGGCTGCCCTGGGAGGCGGCGTGTGACGGACGTGTGACGGCCGGGCTGTGGGCGTGATGGCTCGCCTCAACTGCTGAGCCTCAAAGGAGAGGAAGACAAAGGGGAACAAGCCTGGTTCTTTGGTGCGGTTATTGCATTGTCTCCCCAAGCTGCTTGTGATTAAGGGATGAGCTGCAGGGGAAAAGGGGCAGAACAGGCAGAACCGGCTGAACCCCGAGATGTGGTGGGTGCCGGCTTCTGAAGACACGGGCCTTTCCCACTCTGTTCTGGGGTCATGGACTGGGAAAAAGGACCGGAGCTCACTGAGGGTGGGTGCCATCCTCTAACTGGGGTCCTGCCTGTCATTGCGTTGTCAAAAGCCATTCGTGGCCATGGGCACTCACTGACAGGGCTGTGAACCCCCACTCCTGGGCATGCAGCTGTTCCTCCACTCCGCTGCTGCTGGCAGGGGAATCGTGCCCATGTCCTGTGCAGCCACAGTGAGCCCCACACTTCGCAGTGTCCCTTCTCTACACTGAGTCTCCACACTTAAGCAGAAGGTGGTTATCTGAAGGATCAGCCTTTTAACCACTTCTGCCTTCAAGCCAGACAGAATACAGTGAAGGAAGTTCTATGGGACCCAATGGATGTCCCATGCCCTGCAGGCATATGTCCCTTAAAACACAGGAAAGCAAAGGCAGCTTTCCACAGGCAGCACTGGCCAGAGCTCACCTGCTCCAACACCACATGCTGTTCAGGGGCAGCTCCCTTGACTGGATCACATCAGGATCTCTTCCTTGTAGTCCCCACAAAGGCTGACTGAAGCAAAGAGCCCCTCTCTCAGGTCTGCAGAGGTCTCCATCTCTTCCTTCTGCATGTCAAGGCCCTTCTATCATTTGGTGAATTGCTTTCCCATACATGAACCCCAAATTTGGATTATCCTGTTTCTCTTGAGAGAGAGAATGAGTTCAGGATGGCTCCTGACACTTGACTCAATGCAATAAAGTCACTTTTCCATTACTCTTTCACATCCCAGTTTGGTTTTGACACCAGCAGCAGGTTAACTCTTTTGTCTCATTGGAAAAAGGTTTTTCATCCCCATTTTCTGCCCTGCCTCTCCCCGTTTAGCTCATGTCCTTTCAACTAAGGCCGGTGTCCAGGAATGCAGTTTCTGTCAGCACTCCAGCTCTGCCAAGGTAACTCAGATTCACCAGGCCAGAGCTCGCAGATGTTCAGTGCCAGCTTTTGAGATATCTGATGCAGACCCAGGTGATGACCTAAGCCCATCACTCATCATTCCTAGAAAGGCAGACAAATGGACTGGAAGTAGTAATTGCCCTCCTCAAACATTAAAGCCCAGGCTAAACCTTTTCTCAACATGCAAAATCACATTCATCTTCCCCTCCAGCATGAGCAAAAGTTGTCAATCTGCTTCGTAGCCTGTCATGGCCACCAGGATCTATCAAGGAAAGCCAGTGTCTGGTGACAGCTCCCTGGTGACAGCTGCTGGTCAGGAGCTCCAGCTGAGCTGGACCTACTTCCTCAGGCACCCCCAGCTCCTCATTCATCACCACAATGAAAATCAAGCCACGCTGCTGAGGTTAATAATGCCAGGGTGCACTGTGCTCAATGATCTCAGAGGTCTTTTCCAACCTCAGTGATCCTGTGCTGATCACAGGTGTGTCCTGCAGGGTGGGCAGAGGTGAGCTCGTCTCACCACCTCCTCAGGGCTACTGGGTACAAGGGTGGGGTTCTGCTTTCTCTGTGCAGAACATACCCCAAGGTGCCTTTCCACTTTTGTGCAGTTCTCCTTCTCTGTGTCCATGCACAGCAAACCCAGCCACGTGCCCAGCTGCTGCTCGGCAGAGCAGGACCCTGAGGGGCTCCAGAGCTCTCCATGAGGGAGTGTAAGGCTTTACTCACTGACACTCCAGAGGTGTCAGAAGGGCTGCTGGCTCATCTGCAAAAGCCATGCACGAGCCTCCCCTCCCCCTCAGTGATTAAAACCAA